TTACTGTGGTATCAATTTTGACTTAAGGTGACACAAAGTCTGTAAAAAAATACATTTTTTGGATTTTGATTTTTTTTTTTTTTTTTTTTAAGTAAATTTTCAGGCCTTTAGGTGGACTGGAACATCCAGCCTTTTGGCTAGTGGCCAAGTGTGTCAATCCTTTGCACTTCCCAGGGATTCAATAAATAGTTCATTTAATTGGGAAGTTTCCTTAATACAATTAAATCCATTTTCTAAAAGACATGCCCTACAAGCATTTGAAGGCATACTCATGCATTGAATTGCATGCATAGGGACACAACTTTTTTCCCTGCCATGTACCATATTTGAGCCCCTGCCTGTTTCCTCCTTTGAAATAGACCGTCTCAGACCAAAGCTTGAGACCATGTCATTTAGTGCTAGAGCTGTATTCACACCCTCTTTATATCATATTGTTTATTCCATAATTGTTTTTGAAAGCATTAATTGCCTTTTGTTATTACATTTACATTCAGATTATATTCAATGCCCATATTGTATGAGGAGATTTAATGAAGCGGCAGCTAGTTGACACATTCCTTTCTGTAAGGATCAGTCTTCTCCGCGAGTCTTTGATCCAGCCTAGACAGCAGCCAAATTGGCATCCAGAGTCCAGGTAAATCTCTTGCCCTTGTACCTTTGCACGCCTGGAGGGAAATCTGATGTACCTGTCCTAAGAATCTTGTTGACTATCTCATCATGATATCTCACTCCCATGGAGGTTGGCTGCTTTGGGAGGATGCTTTTCAGATGACAGCACCTTTCGGTGGGTGTCAAAGAAAAATATTTCTAAAGTGCTTGGAGCATCTCAGCATGAAGACTTGGCTATCTATATACATGTTATCTGCAAGATCAGCAGTTCAAACTCACCAGCTACTCCTCAGAAACCCTTTACCAGGGTCGCTATAAGTCAGAACTGGCTTGATCGCACTTAACAACAATCAACAACAACAAATCTACAGTATTAGAGTACAGTTCTGCTTACTCAAAGGTGGTTATCAGCTTTAACCACCAGAAAAAAAACAGTGACCCTGAAGTACCGGTGGGCTATGTGGGGAAAAGTGTCACAAAAAAGGGGTCCTAGAGCTCATGTGTTGGGCTTTATAAAGGAAGCGGTGTGTCAGCCTTTGCCACAGAATTAACAGAACAGAACAGAAGCATCTGCTAGAAATGGCACAAACAGGTAAAATGAGAACTGACAGGGAGACCATGGATCTATAAACATAGATAGAACTGGAGGCAGCAAACAGCTGCATACACGTCAGAGGCCCACCCCAGGGACATAACTTACAGTCCAGCATAAGAACATAGAGATGGCTCAGACATCAAGAAAAGATTCAATTGACCTGAATACTTTTAAGATTATGTAACACATGGAGATTTCTGTTAAAGCCAGTATTTAATGGGACTGGGCTCCCCAGAAGACAGACTTGGCTCTTTCCCCACAAACATTAGACAGTTATTGACTACCTCCTCTGTAGGGACTGGGTCATCCAGGATTTGCAATCCAAAGAGTAAGAAAGTGTGATGGTTGGTATAGACTGGAGTGCTGTGGACAGAAGTAAGCCTCTACGATTCATGGAAGGCTTCAAAGGGAAGCAAATGCTTTCCCCTTAAAAATCAAAATGGGCTCAACAGATTGGAGTTGAAGTTGGGGAGAGCAGCAGAGGATGGGAAGGCAAGATGGTAGCCCATATACTGAAGAACTGACTGGAACCAGGAAATGGAAAGTCATCAGGAACCTAGATGGTCCTCCCTGACATCTGTTCTCTGTCTCCTACTATGCTACTCCTTTCTTCTCTCTGTACACAGTGGCCTTCTCAACTTTTCTGTCCTCATTTAGACTGGAGTGGCATGGAATGGGCTTTTAAAGGATAATTGCCTAGACAGTGGTGTTCAAAATAGACTGGATGAGGCACTAGTTAAGAGTCTCAGTATAGGGAATGAATGAGAGTCTTGAGTAAGAGGACTGGTGTGTGTGTGAGTGTGTGTGTGAAAAAGAGAGAAAATTTGAGAAATACTTAATGAGGCTGAGATGCTGATTGGATGTGAGGTCAAAGGAAGGGGGATCAAAGTTGACAATAAGGTTTTTAGCTCCAGAGCCTGGGCAGATAGTAATACTGTAAATCTACAGAAAGGAGCACAGGAGGGAGGAAGTAGATAGGTGGGGGTAGGGTCATGATTGATATCATTTTAGAGATTCAGTCTTTGCACATAGGATAGCATTGGAAGCAGTAGAAAGAGTAGTCAGATTTGAACTCCAGTTCCATGAGGGGCCTTCAGAAAGTTCTTGGAAATGCATATTATGGAAAAGCTATGCATGAATTTAAAAGGTTTTTTTTTTTTTTTTCCCACCCAAATAAACTTTTACTAACTTGTTGGAACATATCTGAACAGGATATAGTTTGAGGGACTAAGAAGACTAAGACATCATGAAAAGAGTGCCTGCCTGTATCAGGGTAACGTTAATTCTGTTAAAATTCAACATCCATTTTATGGTGAACAAATACTAAATTTATGGTGAAGCTTAAGTGAAAGAATGGTGAAATCACTGATGCTTTACTAAAAGTCAATGGGGATAGTGCCCCCAAATAAAACAGTAGTTAAAAATGAATAAATTGTTTTTTAAGATATTGTGTGTGTCTTAAGTGCCATTGAGTTGGTTTTGTCTCATAGTGACTCTGTATAGGGTTTCCGAGGAGCAGCTGGTGGGTTTGAATTGCTAACCTTGTGGTTAGCAGTCTAGTGCTTATCCTACAGTGACACACCAGGACTCCTGTAAGACATGGGAGGATGGTAAAGATGAAGCCATCCACTGTAGACTATCCACATTATTTTGCAAGGAAACAATCTTGTTCTTTAATTGAAGAGGAAAAACAATTCATAGCAAAAAACAGCAGCCAACACTACAGACATCTCAATTGGCTCAGTTTACACAATTCTGACTGAACTATTGAAACAAAATGTCTGCTTAATGAATGCCCAAACTGGTGTACTCAGATGAGCTGTAGACAAGAGTAGGGCTTTCCATGAAAATTTTAACAAATGGAAGCAAGAGACATTTCTAGAAAGAATTGTAGCAAATGAAAGATGACTTTACCAGTAGAACCTTGAAGACAAAGCACAACCAAATCAATGGCCAGCAAGAGGTAGAAGTGTTTCTGTCAAAGCAAAAGAAGACTGATCAAGAGACATGGCAACAGTTTGGAGGGATGCAGAAAGCATTTTGCTACATTGATAACTACTGGTGATTGGAATGCAAAAGTTATATACAAAGAAGGATCCACAGTTAGAAACTATGTTGATAGAAATGATGCTGGAGATCATGTGATAGAATTTTGCAAGCCAGTAACTTACTCATTGCAAATATCTTTTATGAACAACATTAAAGTCAACTATACACTTGGACTTCACCAGTTGTAATACTTGGGAATCAAATGGACTACATCTGTGGTAAGAGACTGTGGAAAAGCTCAATGTCATCAGCCAAAACAAGGCCAGGGACTGATTGTATAACTGACCGTCAATTACTCATATGTAAGTTCAGGCTGAAGAAAATTAAAACAAGTCCACAAGAGCCAAAATATGACCTTAATTATATCCCACCTGAATTTAGAGGCCATCTCAAGAACAGATTTGATGCATTAGATACTAATGACCGAAGAGTTGTGGGATGACATCAAGAACATACTACATGAAGAAATAAAATGGTGATAAAAAAGAAAAGACCAAAGTGAATCTCAGAAGAAACTCTGAAACTTGATGTTGAACAAAGAAGCTAAAGCAAAGGGAGGAAAAAATGAAGTAAAAGAGCTGAGAAGAAATTCAAAGGGCAGCTCAAAAAGACAAAGTTAAATATGATGAAATGTACAAACACCTGGAGTTAGAAAACCAAAAGGGAAGAGCACACTCAGCATTTCTCACGCTGAAAGAACTGAAGAAAAATGCAAGCCTCAGGTTGCAATATTGAAGATTCTATGGGAAAAATATCGAATGATGCAGAAAGCATCAAACGAAGATGGAAGGGAGAGGTGAGACTTGATGGAGGTGCAGTGAAGTTTGCCATCAGCAATACCACAGAATACTAGGCAAAGCAGATCCAGGGCAGACCTCCAAAACTTGGAACCACATATACACTTGACGGGGAGAGAAAGGAATAGCCAGAAATATCACCATAGAAAGCTTGTAAGTCCATATTCTGCCTATAACTGATTGGAATACCTAAAATGGGGCTACAACGTGCCCAGTGAAGGAGGCTTCCTGTGGAGCCTCTGCATTACATAAGACCATAGGTGGAATCCTGAACAGCATCTAGATTCTTCAGAGGTGGGAAATTTCCACTTGAAAGGACAAGCAGACCAGCCTGGAACAGCTAGAAGAACAGAAGATACTTCTTGAAAGAAAGACCGACAGGAAAAATTCAAAACAATACAGGCAGACCAACTGATTACTACAAGAACAAGCAAGCTGCTCACCCCAGAGACATCAAGGCAAGTGGACAGGTCCCCTCAGAGCAAACCCCTTTCCAAGAATAAGACTCATTGGGAATACACGCTCTGATTGGTGACCACGTTCATCACTGATAAGAGGAAGTGACAGAAAACTAGCCATGAAGCTGCGAGCTAAGCTCTACAACATTCAATAGACTCATTTGAACCTGGGTAGAGAACTGGTTGGCCAGCAGTGTGGCAAGACCTGGAAACTCTTGGGCCCAGAGTCAGTGACATAGCCACAGTGGAGAGTGAAGCGTCCAGCTTATAAGAAGAGAGGACATATGCACAAGAACACCCACACTTGCAGATAATACCCACTTGACCTGGCTTCAATGGCTGAATGATCA